CACCTCGCCCCCACGCCCACCTCATGCTCCACCCATCCCCCTAACCCCCTGGTCCGCTGCCGCTGCACCCACTCCAGTCGTCCACCTTACCCCCTCGGCCCCCCTTTAACGCCCACTGCCATGTCTCCCTGCCCCAATGGACCATCATCCTTCCCCACTGTCAGTCACCCCCATGGTCCACCTTGTCCTGCCCACGTCTGCCCTCATGGCCCACCTCCCCCCAGCTACCATGTCCCCCATCCATGGCCACGGTACCTGGGCTTCCCTGCGCCTCTCTGTAGGCTCCCTTTAGCTGCTGTGCTCACCCCCTCGAGTCACGGCGGCACCCCTACCCGCCACACACACACACACACACACACACACGTTGCCCATCCCCACCCCCATCCCTGGTCTCATGGCCTCCGGGATGCACTGGTCACCTGCCCCTGTGGGTCGTGAACCGTGGGGCTCTTGTCTGCTGCCGCCGGCCCCAGGTGGAGTGACATGACCATGACCATCTCTCGGTGACTCTGCGGCGCTTCTTCCTACAGAAGCTAGAGGAACGGTTTCGGTTCAACCGGCGGGACCTGATCGGCTTTGAGTTCACCGTGCTGGTGGCTCTGGAGCTCGCCCTGTACCTGCCCGACAGCCAAGTGTTACCTCATTACAGACGCCTCACGCAGCAGTTCTAGCGGCGGCCGCCCCTGCAGGCAGCCCTCACCCGAGCTGTGAGGCCTGCCGGCACCCCCTCCACACCACCGCTCTGCCCCTCATCTGAGCCTCTGCTTCCATTCCAAAGCAGCCACACGCCCACGGTTCTAGGAATATTCCTGGGTTTTTCACGAACAAAATGTGGGTTTTGGTTCTTCACGTGCCTGCGCCTGGCTGGGCTGGTGCCAGGTCCTTGCACACACTGCAGGTGGACTCTGCTGGCGGCCACACTGTCCCCTTCCCATACTAGCAGCCTCCACCCACCCATCTCGGGCCCTGCACCAGGCTTTCCGGAACAAGCTGCACTTACCGAAGTTTAACTTATTTGAGCATTAACAGCGGGACACCTGGAGTCCTCAGTGGACGCCCCCCACCCTGCCTCCCCTCTGCCCTGCCCCACGCCTCCTCCGGTGTCCACAGGGAGAGCTCCTGACTGCAGGTGAAGCCAACAGGACCGACCTCCTGCCTTGGGTCTTGTTCTTCCTCCCAGACTTCCGTTCTTCCGAGCATCGCGTCACACTGTGAAATCCTTCCCAGGGCCCTCCCCCCGTGCTGCCAGCCCCCAGGACTTGAGCAGACCTCAGCTGGCACCTTATGCAACTGCCCGGCCTCCACCTCACACCAGGGCAGCCCCAGAACCCGGGCCTCTGCTCAACCTGCCGGCACCCTGCACCCCCAGCAAACCAAGCGCTGGCAGCTTCCCGGCTGGCATCATCCCAAGCAATACTGAGAAACAGCCCGTATTTATGATCCTTCAGGAGTGGCTTCTGTGGGTCTTAACAAGTTTAAATGAGATCCTGTGACCTGAAACGCCCGTGCTGGATCCCGAAGTGGGTCCAGGGGGCGAGGGGGCTCTCCTGCTGCCGATCCACCCAACTACGTGAGCTACAGCCCATGTGCTGTCCTTCAGGTGATGTCTACGAGTGCCCACTCGGCACAGCCGACTCCAGCTCGTGCCACTTCAGGTCATACCGAGAAATGACCATTTGGTCTTCACTGGCCACAAACCCACAGCTGTCCTTTACTGTCTCACCAGCAGGGGCCCCTGAACCACCCTCCACTAACACCCATCCCTTTTGTGTGGTCGTTCTGGTGAACTGATGCAAGGGTGCGGGGTAGCTGCCCTGCCTCCTTCACTCAGGTCAGCTGGCCAGGCCCTCACTTGGCCCCAGACCAGTAAACAGCAGTACACATGGCGAAGCCAGAGGACAGAACTCCAATGTGGGTGAACCAGCCCCCTGAAGCCAATGATGGCTGCCCAAAACCCAACATGCAGTGGGGAGAGGACCTGGGATGCTGCTATAATGTGTTGATCAGGTCCCGGTCTTGGGCATTTTCTCCCAAAAAGCAATCTGTCCCACCACCATTGCATCATGTGGGTCTGTCCAGTTAAACGTTGCAGGCTGACTTGGTCACAGTGTAGCCCTGAGGTGCAAGTCTCTGGGTGTTTTCTGGCTGCTGGCAGCATGGCTGCCAATGGATGTGTACCCAGTCAGCCACCCAAGCCTCCCCTGGTATATTCTCCTCAATGCCAAGAGTTGCCACCATGTAGTACCGGGGCTTCCTACACAAGTCAACAATTAAACCAAAATGAAGCCGATCAAGTCCAGACACGTGACCAGCATGTAAAGTGCTTACTGGCCAGACACCCCCCCTCCCCCGTGCTGCCTGCTCCCCAGCACCTCTGGGGAGTCAGGGTCGTGAACCTGTCCCTGACCGTCTAGCTGTCACAATGCTGTAGTCGTTCGTCCTGGGTGTGTTTTCAAAGGGTAACAAATGTCTTTTGGAATAAAACTTGGTTTTGCTACATGCTTCCTGGTTTGTGTCCTCTCAGGCTACCTGCCCTCCATGCACTTTGGCTGCCCTTCACAGCCAAACCACCGCCCCTTCCCTGACCCCTGCAGAGAAGGGACGTGCCCGCAAAGCACAAAGTGAACCAACACAGATGGGTTTTACTCTTTATTCGTGACCAATGCTCCACATCCTGGACTCTCTCCGTCAGAAGTTCCTAGAAAGGGCCAGAGACAGTGTTAGGGACCTAGTCTGGGAAAGCACCGCCTGCAGCCCCCAGGCTCGCCTGCTTACTTGGACACGATGCCATCAGCCTTGGCCAGCCGCAGAATGGAGTCATCAGACTCGCCCTTCAGAAGGAAAACCTCGTGAACACCTTTCCAATGGCCACCCCAGATGGCCCGCGAGGTCAGCGCGTGCCGACGGCGTCTGAGCTGCACCCCGAGGTCAGCGCGAGCAGACGGTGTCTGAGCTGGACCCCGAGCACAGCACGTGCCAACGGTACCTGAGCTGCACCCCCGAGCACAGCGCGAGCACAGCGCGAGCAGATGGTGTCTGAGCTGCATGCACCAACGCGGCCCGCCTGGGCGTGGCGTGCATAGCCCAGGCGGGCAACGGGAGGACCGCCAGGCGCCCGGGCCCACTGCCACCACGTCCCGCGCACGGCGCCGCGCTGAGGGTCCCGACCGTACTCACCATCCTACGGATGGCCCCACAAATGGCGTAGGTCTTAAACTGGCCGTTGAACCTGCCGGTGACCTTGTCCACCTACGAGAAGAGCGAGTGTCCCCAGGGTCCAAGCGAATCCTTGGGCCGAACCCGGGCCCTCCCAGCGGCCCCGGCCCCGGGCTCACCTCGGCCACGTTGATCTGGATGGACGCGTGGTCCTTGGCGCCGATGATACGGTTGCTGGCGGAGCTGCGGGGACAGCACGGTGAGAAGGGGCGGGGGGCAACGAGGGGCGTCCGGGGCTGAGAGAGGGGCGCTCACCATTTCCGCGGCACGTACAGGTCCACGAACTCGCCCGCGTCGTTCTGCATGCCGTGACCGCGCCTGCCGAGCCACCACGCGGGCTGTGAGGCCGGGCCCCGCCGGACCCCGAGACCCCTCGGCCACGGCGGGCCGCCCGCGCGCGCTGCCCGACGGGCGCCTCCGCTCCGCCCCCGACCCGCCCGGCCCCATCTGGGTCCCGCCCGGCCGCCCCGCGCCCCGTCCCACGGTCCACCTGAACACACCACGCCGAAGGCCAGCAGAGAAAGGAAGAGACGGGCCTTCCGGCGGCAGTATCGGCGCGTGGGGCGGGGCCTGGGCGGCTGCTTCCGGGTCAGGCGCGCTGCGGCGAGTCTGCGCAGAGCGGCCCCGGCGCCTGGCTTCCGGACATACGTCCCTCCCTGGAGCGCTGGCGCGGGAGCGCATGCGCGATCAGCTGCGGGGCAGAGCTGAGCGGACCGCTCATGTGGGGGTCCAAGGCGGCAGGTCGTGGCCGGGAAGCCGGGGTGCAAGGCCGAGTCGTGGGGCGACCTCGTGGACCAGCCCTACCGCTCCTCGGAGCACTCTTCGCCGCCGCCACGACCAGCCGATGCCTGAGCGGACCCCTGCCAGCCCTGGTTCTCGGGCTGCTTGACACCTCCTTCCGTCTGCAGCTGCTGAGCGTGGGCACCCCTAAATCGCGGTGCCAGCTGGTGACGCTGGCCCTGACCCAGACCCCCACCCGGGGCCCACTGGACGGGGTTCCGAGCGCCTCTGGGGATGGAGACCCAGCAGGAGGGCTGTCCTACACTGGCCTGGGGCCGGCTAGTGAGGTCCCCACGCTCCGGTAGGCAGACGGTGGATGAGAACAGGCATGTCCACCGCCAGGAACGTCGATTTTCTGGATCAAAATGGCAACACCCAAAAAGACAAACCCAGTGTCTGCTGCGGGCGGCAGAGTAGCCGCTCCGAAGGGCGGTTTAGCGATGCTTTGCTTAGTGCTGGGAGCTCTGGTGGCATAGTGCCTAAGGCACCTGACTGCTAACCAGAAGGCTGGGGGTTCAAACCCCAGCCACTCTTCGGAAGGAAGGCTGGGCAATCTACTTCTGTAGTGGTACCACCTCAGAAACTCAAGGAGGGGTCTCCATCAGTTGGATCCAACTCCACCAGCAGAGTTTGGTTGGTTTTTTTGATCTTAGTGTTGGAGAGCATACCTTTGAACCCAAAAACCCACTCTGGGAAATCAAGGGGACAACCTCCCAGAAAATGAGTGCACACATGTGTTCCTGGCAGAGCACAGAGTGGGAAGAGCCCGCGCATCCTGGGGGGCGGAGGGGGCAGGGACGGTGATGGCCTTGCCAGCAGAGGATACAGCAGCAGGGCTGCGTTGGGGTCTTCTCTGGGTCTGGTGGGGGGCACCGTGCCCTGGGAGGTAGACACTAAGCACTGGGGCACTGGCCTGTGTTTGCCAAGTGTCCGTGCAAACCCCACAGCCCTTATCTAGCTCCACCACGTATCCGCCCAAGGACCCCGCTTCATGCCCCCACCATGAGTCCCTCACCTGTTTCTCCTTAGGAGCTCTGGTGGTGTAGTGAATAAGGCATTTGGTTGCTAACCAGAAGGTTGGCAGTTCAAACCCACCAACTGCTCCACGGGAGGAAGATGAGACACCCTGCTTCCATGAAGATTTACAGCCTTGGAAACCCAATGGGGGTTGCTGTGAGTCGGAATCAATGGCAGTGGGTATTTTTTCTTGGCTCAGTATTTATTGAGAAACTCCTATGCCAGCCCTACTCCAGAGGCCAAGGGAAAAGAAAACAATCCCACGCTGGAGTCCCCCAGCTGAATGAAACAGGGCCCTTAGGACAGGCTCAGGTCACCGCTTCATCGTGCCTGCCCCACATGGACTGATGTCAGCCAGGACCCTTTGCCTGGCCAACCACTCCTTGTCGTGCAAGGCTTGGCACTTCCTCAGCTTCAGTCTGCATGAGGTCACTGTCGAGGGCTCTCGAGAACCCACTGTTCTCTGACATGGCCACCACTCATCAGCGAATGCCTCTGGTATGACCGTTGGCTGTGGTCGTCTCCCCTGTAGACTGAGCTTCCTGGTGGTGGGGCTGGGGCTCAGTCTGCTCACCCCTGTGCTCCCACCCCTGGGCCTGCACACAGTAGGTGCTCAAGGCGCAAGTGTCAAGTGATTGCGTGGGCTGCCTCGGCCAGCTGCACAGCGCCCTTCCTGAGTCACTGCCAGCCTCCCGACCGTGGGAGGGTTTAACATCTGGGCCCAGCTGGAGATGAGGCTGCGAGTCCCGGGTCGTCTGGACACCAGGTGTCCGTGTGGGCAGCACGTCGGCTGTGGCTTGCACTGGACTCCAGCAACCAGGCAGCAGGAGTGAGGTCCCTGCGGGCCCCCTGTTTGAGGGAGGCCACTCGGAGGTGGTGGCGCCAGGACCACACCATACGTGCAGAGATGGCCTGCGTGGGGCTCGGCCCAGCCAGGCCTGGGGCTACTCTCCGAGAGTCCAGGGAGACTGAGGCAGCTAGAGTGTGCGGGCCAGCTCCCAGGAAGGCGAGCAGCAGCGAGATGACCCTGGGATCTGCAGAGGGATTTCTTTGTTCCGTGGAGTGCTGAAGAACCCGTGTAGAGGTTTACAGGGAACGGGGCTGGTGCTGACACGAGGCTGAGGATGGGACTGCTTTCCTGAAGCACACTACCCTCAGTTCATGAGGCGCCGGGCAGAGCACCCACGAAGCTTCCCTCGTCATGGGGA